CACTCCTCTAGTAGCCACAATAGTCAGAGCTGAGTTGATCCAAAGTTGGGGGTCAGGATATTTTTCCTGTTCTCCCTCTTGGTGGCAGGGTTCTCAGTACTTGAGCCATCTGTTTCTGCTTTCCTAGGCCATAATCAAGGATCTGGATCAGAAGGGGAACATTCAGAATATGAACATACATCATATGGGATTCCAGTGCTAGCAGATGGAGGGTTAGCCTGCCAACTCTGGCCCCGAGCCTGCTTTTCAACTAGTGTCGCTTTGCATATAGTTAAAGGACATTTAACATATCCATGATAATACTTGCAAGCCACATCCAATTGGAGGTAATGGAAACATGAGTTTAAAAGGTGACTACATTTAGTGTAAGAAAACTTTGAAACCCATGTATAGATTTTTTGTAATATGCACTTTTCACAAACTTTTCCAAGATTCATCAGATGCACTAATTTCAATTATTTTTGCACCAAAACAAATTTTTTTTGTTTCCAAACACCCGTGAACTTTTTGAGGTACCCTTATATGTATTTCTATGACTAAATTCAGTCCCAATGTTTCCATAAGAATGAACTTCACACAGACAGGCTTCAGGGCTCCAGAGACGTACCCACACAAATGCTGACCACAAAACGAGGTTCACTCTGCCTCCTTTTCCTGGAATGACTGGAGAGAGAGAACTCCTACAACTAAATGAACTTTCAACACAGCATCTTACATGTATTCGAGACATTATTTGCGTGTTTGTTAGGTGAGTGCATGAAAGAGTAACAAAATAACAGAATCAACCAAGATCCTTCTGTGTTATATTGGTTTTTTAAAGTTGATTTTTAAGCTGCTTGTGACAGTTTTCTCAAGTGGGTCATGACTATACTACAGGCAGAATCCTTGAACAAAATAAGCTTTTCTGCATGGCTCAACTTTGGTGTGATGAATTTAGCTAGAATCCAGGTATTCTCAGGGTGAGAACCACCTGTCCCTCTGTCCCTAGTTAAACGTGCATGTGTTCTTCTGCCCTGTTCCTCCAGGAGTGAGTCTCTGAGTAGAAAGCTGAAGCAGCCTACATAAGAGAGTTTTCATTCTGAGAAGCAGCCAAATGCCAGACTGAAAAATGTCATGGAGGACAGGTAGATGCTCGAATCACTTAGATGATCCAGTCACTATGAAGACATTCAGAGTTTCCCTGGGAAGGAAAATCTGAATATGAAGAATGCGACAGAGAATGCATCATGGACTTTAAAGTCAAAGTTCTTAATTGTGACTAAAATTTCAACTTTAGCTGAACTTTACCAAATGCCTTTGAGATGGTTTCCTTGTGAAGTTTTTGAATGAGGGTAATACAACCTCTTCTACAGAGGGGTGAGATAATAGAAAAATATTCAACTCAATGGTTGCTCTCTAACTGGTAAATATTGACAATTAATTGGGCAGATTGGCATCCTACTTTGAGATGTTCATTATACCAGCCTCTACAGCTGTGAGTAGTAATATATTGCTTGTTGTGCATCTATGAGAAAACAGAGGGATGCTAGGTATGACATATACAGTGGTGACAAAACAAATATGGCTCCTGTTTCCATGGAGTTTACAATGTAGGAAGGAAGGTAGACATTAAGCCAACAATCATCAGGCTGAAAAATCAGAAAGTATAGAACGGCTTCTGGGGATCCAACAGTCCAGGGTTTATCATTTTCAGCTTGTGTAAACCTTTCTTGCACTCTTTCTCTTTTTCTCATGGAACAGAGTGGACAGCAGAAGAAATTTGGGACTACCTATTTCTAAAATCATAATGGTTTTAATCAATTATTTTATTAATTATAAAATTTTGTTTTATTTTATTTGAAAGGCAGAATTAGAGAGTGAAGGAGAGATATAAAGCTCTTCCATTAGCTGGTTCATTCCCCAAGTGGCCACAATGGCCAGAGATAAGTCCATCTGAAGTCAGGAACCAGGAGCTACTTCTGAGTCACCCAATTGGGTGCAGGGACCCAAACCCTTGGTCCATCCTCAACTGCTTTCCCATAATCAGGGAGCTAGAAGGGAAGTGGAGCAGCTGGGACATGAGCTGTATGGGATGCTGGCTTTTTAAGTGGAGGATTAGCTTTCTATGTCACCTTGTGCACATAGTTTTTAAAATCACAGAAATCAAGAAAGCTGAGATGGATGATATGATTGTATTAATCAGCTTTATTTTTGTAGAGAGAATTACCTCTGACTAGGGTAGCATAAAAGGAATTTACTAGGGAAAACAGCTAATTCTCAAATTATTGGGAAATCTGAGGGACTGGATCTAGCCGAGTTAGTTACCAGGAACAAGCCCAAACCATATTGGATAAGCAGGCCTTGAAGGATGGCTGTCATGCTGCTGAGGAAGCTATACATTCAAGAAAAGTTCCATCTCATCTGCCAAGTGAAGGTTCATACTTCGCTGGTGCTGTCATCACCAGTAAAGGGCAACCTGCCTCTCTTCCCAAGAGAGTCAGTTCTGCACCAAAGTCTTGTGTGACTATATCCAACTGGATGTGCCCAAATCATATGCAGGACCATCTGCAAAGATGGTTTCTAGGTATAATCTTAACTTTCTATTCTCATTATTCCTAAGGAGTCTAAGGGAAATCGACAGTGTCCATCACAAAAGTGATAGGAAAGGGCAGGGTCATCGGCTGTACTAGGTTATCTCCGTATAAGAAGACACGGTGCTCTGACATTCGTAACTATTTCATTGACTCCACTGCTGTGGAGCCACCTTTCAGAACTGCTCAGCACTGTGGCACAGCTCAGCCTACAACAGATGTTAAATAATGCTCTAGCTCTTGAAATCCATTTCTTTGCTAACTTCCATCTCTACCTCTCTTTTAAAATGAGAACAGTTTTGGATAAGTTAGGATGACTGGTTCTCAAATAGATCCTTGAATCTAGGGATCCAGTGTTACCGAATATTTTAAGAAGTTGAAAATGATCAGTACATAGATCCAGTCAGTCTATAAAGTGTTTACTTTTTTAAAAAGCTTGTTTTGTTAGATTTTAAAAACAGATTTTAAAAAATGGTTATGTCTAATTCTCTTTGATAATGCTTCAGCATCTAGAAGTTCTGGACACTCAGAGAGAGCTCCGATGGAAGTGAGAAATAAATGATCCAACTTACCACCATCCACATGCTTCCCTAAGGTCATCTTGATATGAAGTTCAGTCTGCAGTTGTCATTAATTATCTCACTTAGACTACTGCTTTTCTTTAATTGAGAAACCTGAATTGTATACATTTCACAAAAACAAAAAAATGAGATGCGTAATTTTTCAAACATTTCAAGAAAATGGAAGTGTGTTTTTCCAAGGCTGTCCTGTATCACATCTATGTTACCTGCCTGATATTTACAGATCCCTACTCCAGGGAAGAGATTTTTTTTCTGGGCAAGATAATTTTCCTCATTGCTCTTTCATGAAAATGGTATTGTTTAACTGAGAACTTAAGGTGTCCTTTCCCATATTATGCAATCACCTAAACATGCTTTCAGACAATTTAAATTACTGTGATAGATATTCATGATCATTAAATGAATAAAAGATAAAACATAATTATGTGCATGGAGTACGAATTTATCTGTAATTATAGCATGACGCCAATTTGGTGGAAAGCATTTATAAGAAAAAAAATCTGGGAAGGAAACACACCAAATGTTAATCCTCAAAAATGAAAATTCCCCCTAATAAGTTTTAAAAGTTCATGGAAAATCACATTATGCAGAAAACTATGATGGATTTATATTACATCAATATAAACTTTTCAGGAAGTATTTGAGATGCAGAGAGCAAGATGGGGGCAGTGGTAGGAAGGGCTGGAAGAGAGAGCAAACTGTCATCTATTGGTTTACCCTCCAGGTGCCCACAATGACTGGGGTAGGCCAGACAGAAGCCAAGAAGCAGAAACTCAATCCAGATCACCCATAGGGTAGCAGGGACCCAACTACTAGGATTATAACTACTACCTCACAGGATCTGCATTAGCAGGAAGCCAGATTAGGGACCAGAGTAGATACTTGGATCCAGGAATCCTGAAGTAGAATGTAGGCGTTCTTTCTCCCATCTTTACTGTCAGGGCAAGCACTCTAATAAACTCATTTTCTGTGAACCTTTTCAGTTAACATTCTGTGTTGACCTCATATGCACACACTTTGCCCTGCTTACTTCAAATAAAATACTATGCTTTCCAAATAGCTTTATTAATTTCCTATAGTTATCTTGTATTCATCCAGAAACTTGCAAAGGTGAAAAGTCTAAGTTCACAGACCAGGATGGGTCATGTGTTTTTGCACAAGATCACATGGTGACTACTTCTGCCTTTGCAGGCTCCTCGTTGCCTGCTCAGCTCTGGTTATTGTGGTAGGACAGCAACCACTGTCAGTAGGGGATAAACAAATGAGGGGGGCTGCACCCCAGGAACACACTGGGGACAAGGAAATTTCAACGTGCTGTAATTTCCATGCTCATGGAGTATTTTCTTTTTTGAGTTTTCCTTTCATAATTGAAGCATAGATCAAACATTCTGCGCTCATTGACTATACAAAAACATGCCTCAGGCCAAGATGGATTGTCTGTGCTGGCTCATTTGTCAGTCCTCATTTTCAGAACCTCAGTGTTTCCATTCCCACAGGCTGAGGGCCCACGGATCCTGACAGTCTGTAGAAACAGCCTCTGGAGTCACAGTGTGCTACTCTGATCTCTCCTGGAGACATAAATATTATTAAAGATGATGCAACAATGATGCGGACTGGTGACTGTGTTCAGATTATATGCCCATGTCCAATGGTGGGAATGAGGCATGGATTCCTGTCCAGTAAGCAAAATGGCATGTTCTGAAATGACCCACCCAATTATTACCCATATTTTAATAGTTACATGTTCTAGAGTATATGTAGAAGCTCACTCGGACCAAGAAAGATCTCTGATCCAGATGGAATTGTGGGGTTATTCACTATGCCATTAATGGATCAATTCTATGGATTATGAAATTGACAGATTTAATTTTTATCAGCTATATAGTTTTTCATAAGAAAGCATATAGAGAGGACATGATAAATTTGCGGAGTAACAGAAAATGTTTACACACCTTTATACTTAGCAAGGTTAGTGGCTTGGCTTACACATGCAAAGAACCAGGATGACTGGTATTTAGGACACAGTTGCTGTTCAGTTTCTTTATAAGGAAAATGGTTTCATGCAGGATACTGCTCCTTCTACCGTCTTGCTGTCCAGGAGGGTTGTGTGTGTGGCCTGCCTTCAGCTTCTCTCCGCTCTTTACCAACCTTCAGTCTTCCTGAAGGTCAGGCCAGAGATGTCGCTTTCTAGAAGTTGCTGTTCTCAGCTCTGCAAAAGCTGCTGAGACAAGAATATGCCAGGAGCCTGAGCACAGAGAACACAGAGGACGAAACACATAGTAGTATCACAGTAAATTATTGGACACTGAAAACTGCAGATCTTGGGACCTAAGTCAGAAAAACAATCAGCTTAATTTGGAATTCAGCCAGGAACACAGAAGCTACTGTGGAGGGGTGGTGGGCAGGCCCTATGGGACACTGGGACCATGGTACTCACCTCCTCCCCACAGCCAAGCACTTTGGTTCTCCTCAGAAGAAATAAGTCCATTGTGACCTTTAGGGCTAGTTATAATTTGTGACATGTGAGGGACTTAGAAAACTCCAAGCACTCACGTCTCAAATACCAAGTCACTCAGAATGCTTCCCTGGTGCTGATTCTGAGTTCCACACCAGATTTTGACTGGTTCAGACACCTAGGTTAAGAAGGGGCCCTGTCTTCCTAAAAGGCCCGAGTTTCTCATTTCCTAGTATGTATGCTCCCACTTCCCAATGCAGTTAGCACTCGGTCCCTGTAAGAGTTGGGATGCTGCCTCACACCTGCTTTCCACTCTTTGCAGAGTTCCTGGAGTCCCTTTCTGAACCATAGCCAGGAGTCCTGGCCTTATCCCCTAAAGTAAACTCTCTTCCCACCAAACAAAACTCTTCATTTATGGATTCACCTATTCTTGAATTCTTAGGCAACTTCATGCTCAATGTCAACACAGATTCTGCTAGGTTGTTCGTGTTCACTTCTGGTAATAATTTGGACCCAGCAGATCCAGAAGGTCTGTGTGAATCACAATTCCCTGAGAAGACATAGTATGCTGGAGTCTGATGCAGGCCTTTCTGATTCTGGAAGCCCCAAGTCAAAAATCTGCATTTCTAACACTTACCAGGGAGAATGCCCACAGTTTGCCAACTGATTCTTCCAGTACATTCGTTTTTTCCAGAAGCTAAGCTGCACCCATCCTCCAAGAGGCAAGAGTGATTCGTGGTCTCAGAGCCTCTGGTTTTGTTGTTGTTGCTGTTTTGTTTTGTTTTCCATTTTCGAGATCCTGTCTGGTCTGACTGAAGCCAGGCAATGTGCACTCAACTTCCAAACACTCTACACATGCTGAGAAAGAATCTCAGTTTTGCAGGACATTTCCTGTTCCAGACAAGAAACAGAGCCTCCCAAAGCATAGCAATACAAAGCTCACCATAATGAAAGAGTCCATGAAACATTCTCCATGTGACTGGGTCTCTTTACGTAGGCAGGCATTTCGCATATGTGTCATTTTGAGTCTTGGGAGGAAAGAAACTCAACATTCTCCCTGAAGAATTAGAGGAGAGTTCAACAAAGGCAGTATTTACAGAGTGTGGGCAGGGTTTGAGGAAACCACAGTGGAGGGTACAGAATCCAGGGCAAGAATGAGTGGGCCCCTGTGCTGGAATTCAATGGGGCTGGCTGTTCTGAGAAAACTGGATGGACACAAGTTTCTGTATGAAAACTAGCCAAGTCATAGTGACCAGGCAGGAACCTCTCTCTCCTTCCCTCTTTGCTTTTTACTGGTGTCTCCATGGGCACAAGCCACAGGAAGTCTGCGGCAACAGAGCCTGATGTAATGGTTTATCAGGCTTAACCTTCCAGATAAGATAGTTGAAGCTAGAAGATGATATTACTTAGCTCTGGAGGGTTTCTAGACAAATAGTTAGGGCAATGCAGACCCTTATGTCAGTGGCTCTGGAAATTGCTATGCCAATCTTAGTAGCTCTGCAAAGTTAAGCAGCATTTATTCTGCTAACGTGCAAAACAGACACAGAGCAAAATTGGAGTCCCTAGTGTGGGTGTCATTCCACTGGATAGAGGGACAAAGGAGATGGGAGACCTCCCATAGGCCCAGCATTCCCCCCTTGTTTTGTGTTTTTGTTTATCTTGTGTGTCTTTGGCAGGATCTTGGAGAGCTTTACACAGTGAAAAGTGAGAAAAGGTGGGACTAGAGTGCAGATCCCAATTTCTCATCCTCGACATGACTTCTGGGTCGTTCTCTGGAGCACAACTGAAGAAAGGACATCAGTATTTCTTGTGGCCAATAGGAAACAGTAAAGAGACCTGGTATGAGATCAATGTCATTCATTGACATTGCCAGTTAGCCACTATGTGACTTCATATTAACATCACCAATGGTTATTTTTTCTTCTCCAAACGCTTCCATGTACTTGGATCATAGGTCAGTCTCACATTCCTTCTCTAATAACACTTGCAAAACTTACAGCACCATTTTGATCTCCAGCTTGTTTACTTGACACTTGCTAATTATTTTAACATTCTTAGATGCAAGGTGCTACGTTCATCTTTAAAAAAACTTTTTTTGAAAGGTGCAGAAGTAAAGAAATGTGAATTGAATTGAAAGAGATTTTGCAAGTTGGCTTTTGTTGCAACATCCAACACATAACTGAGAAACATGATGTGGGCTTCTTAAGTCAAGCCAAAGCAATTGTTGCAGAAGTTCAAAAACATGTTATCCAGCAAAGCATTTTCTGTTTTTCTATGTGCCCATCGTAAAATCAACAAGTACAGAAGAGTTAAAAAAAAATCTATGGGTTGCTCTTCTCATTTGGGATGAGGGTGGCTGGCTCAAGTCCTGCCTGATCCATTTGCGATCCAGCTCCCTGCTAACGAACAGCTGCCCGAGTCTCTGTACCCACGTGTGAGTGAGTCCCAAAAGAAACTCCTGTTGCAGCCATTTGTGGAGCAGATGAAAAAATCTCTGTCTCCGTCTCTGTAAGTCTGACTTTCAAATAAAAATGATCTAATTGTGGTCACTTTAGAGAACAAATTCAAATGTTGACATTCAAAATAAATAAGTAGATCAATGTTTTAAAAAGTACAAAAGTTACACTATAAGTTTGAACACTATTGAAGAATGTATGACTAAACACAAATGGTCTTTATAAAGGCTGTGGAAAACGCACATGATAAACAAATTACACAAGGATCACAATAACTTTTTCCAACAAACAAATCTTGTCCTTTCATTTTTGTTTTACCACACATTTCTTGAAGTTTCCCCTGTGTCAAAAACACACACTTCCAGAGCTGTGCTTACTCATTAATTGTTGTTTTGATCCAAACTTTGTCCTTCTTCTCCTTTTGAAAATGAACTTATGAGGAACATACATGCCACTTTCACAGTTGCTTTTATGTTCAACTTTTAACGTGAACAATAAAAATCCCCTGCCTCTTGTTTGCTCAAGTTTGTTGGGCAAAAATAGGTCTTCTTTTCTTCACAGTTGCACAGATTGTTTTATTAATAATCCCTCAGTGTTCCATGGCAGAGATAAAGCGGACGCCTACAGGATCATTATGTGTGCATAACGTGGGCTCTGCAGTATCTTCAATTTTCCCACACCTGCTGTCACTTACTCCCCCCTCCTTTCAGAGGGTTTTTTTTTTTTTTTCTATTATGCAGCCTGCATTACCTTTGGCTTCATGTTGCAGGTCACCTGGCTAGGCTGTTGTTGAGAGAAAGCAGATGGATGATGCTGGCTGACATGACCCTAATTTCACCCACCCTTCACTCCCACTTTATTTTTACAGGGCCCTGCACAGGATGTGGAGTGGAGAGGTCATGCGATCCGTGATTGAATCAGGAACCTCTATGCTGACATTGACTCAGTAGCTAATTGGGTTGGATGAGGATGTATTCTGGGATTGAGTCTCCTTATCTATTAAATAAAGGCATCTTAGTTAATTTTAGTTTCCCTTTCCAGTTCAGAAAGATAAAGTGATTCCTTGTAAGACAAATACTTGGGTATGCTGTCCTCCAAGGTCAAGCATTTCCTACTCAAAGCTTGTAGGAAGCCCATGATTCTTATCAACAAAACTCGTTCCCCTTTCTGGCAGACCTGACCAGCAGCGTTGTTTTCTCTTGTTCTCTGCAGAAAAGATCCAGGCTTAGCTGTGTGTTTTGCTTTGTTGATCAAAGACACTCCTTCAAACAAGTGTTTGGTGCTCTGAGGGTGTTAGTGTTTGTAGAAATAGCACATGTTTGACACTCACACATCTCATTCAATACAAGTAGTTGAGTGAGAAGTGATGGCTTTCATGCTAAACATGGTAATGAGGCTGAGATAGATTAAAGACCCAGTTGGTAAAAAGGGTGGGGTTGAGATTCAAATTCTTTTAAGAGTATTATCAGCTACTTTATGAAATTATGAAAGGATTTCTAACTAAATCTTCTCTCCCACCAATATATTTCTCTTTGTCTTTTACTTAGAATCTGTACATGGAAACAATATTCCACATCAATCTAGTTTTGTTTACACAGAGGACTGCTACTACGTGAGCCTCTCTCTCTAATCCTTCTCCCTCTCTCTGAAGCCTGGGACTCTTATGGACACATGGACTCTGTTGGAATCAAGAAGGAGGAATGGGAGAGGAGGTCAGAATTCCAGAAGATGGGGGAGTCTGTAGTAGAGAGGGGATGGAAAGTGAAGTATTCTAAACTGAAAGCCAAGAATGAGACTGACTGGCCATTATTCAAGGTTAGTTCTTTATCAGTAAAAATATGTTTGAATTATTCATGAAATTTCTCTATTTCTAAAAATTTATTTATATGAAGAGTTAGAGTGCCAGGGAGGAGAGACCGAGACACAGTGGGAGATCTCCCTTCTGCTGGTTTACTCCCCAAATGGCTTCAACAGGTAGCGTTGGATCATACTGATGGCAAGAGTCAAGTACCCCATCTGGGTCTCCCAGGAATCCAAGTGTTCAATCCATTGTTTTCTGCCTTCCATTATGCTAGATGGGAAGCAAATCAGTGGGACTTAAAACAGCACTCTGATATGGGGCGTGAGCATCTCAAGTGACAGCTAAGCCTGCGGTGACACGATGCCAGTTCCTATGATCCTTACCTCTCATTTTTGTTTCAGTTTTTTAAAAATAATTTACGTTTTGGGATTCTTAGGCGGGGAAAGTAAGGACAAGAGAATTGTCCTACAGAACTGAGGGAAACAGTGGTAGGAGTTGGAAAATCAGTTCTAGATACACATTAAAGACATCTTGATCAAGGCAACCTCCCTTAACTACTATCTTTTTTTTTAAGCTATTTATTCACTTATTTATTTGTTTGAGAGGGAAGAAGAGAGACACATAGAGAGAAAAAGATAGAGCGAGAGAGAGAATGGATTCACAGGTTCACTCTCCAAAATGCCAGCAGCGACCAGGGCTGGAGCAGGTGAAAGCCCGGTACTCAAAGGCCCAAGCACTTGAGTCATCGTCTGCTGTCCTCCAGGAAGCACATGAGCAGGAAGCTGGATCAGAAACTGAGTAACTGGACTTGAACCAGATACTTAGGACAGGCTCACCAGTTTGTTGATGCCTGTTTTGTAGGAGGATGCCCATAGAGATCCCTTCGGCTTGGACAGAAGTGTTCTAATCTGGTCAGCTGCAAATGAGCAAATCAAACATCCTTGGCAAGGGGAATTTTAACAGTGTTTTTTCCAATAGTTGCCACTAGTGGAATGTGGTGCTTAAGAACAAGTCCAACTTGAATTTGAGCTCCCATTTCTAGCTGCTCTTAGGGACTCACTTGGACCTCATGACCTCATGTGTAAAATGTGGATGGGGGTGCCTTCTACTTCACGGTGCATGGTTGTGACATTTCATTGGGAGTAATATGTTTGTACCACTTAGGTCAGCATCTGGCCAATGACAAATACCATGCTTTAGATATATGAGGGTATTCCATAATATTCATGTAAAATAAAATTAAATCTTTTGTGTGTGTGCAGAAAGTTTCAGAATCTATCACAGAGGGTCTTCAAAATTTTGTGAAAATGCATATTATGAAACAATTATGCATAGAAGTCAAAATATCTTTTGTACCAAGCAGTTTCTAAACATTCTACCTCGGCACACAATGTTTAACATGTCCTCCTATAACCCATAGCACTATTTTATTTATATTGTGCATGTGTACAATGCGTCTGCAGCCCAATATCAATTTGCGACTCTAAGAAATGTGACACAAAGACAGTGAATCTGTTTAAGATGTATGTGAGAAATGCTGCAGAGGAAAGCATCAAGGGACATCTCTATTTACCCATCTGTGGCTCTACGTAATTTGCTTGTTTCTTTTTGCTCTCACTGGCTGATATGACGCTGTGATATTGAAGAAGGATGGTAAGATAAGGCTCCCTCACTATTTGGGAATTTCCTATATGTTAGCTAGTAAGGAATACGCAGGCCTGTTCCTCCAAAGTGAGACCTATGGAAGTACACAAATGCTTATTCCATGCCCCTCAGGCATTCACTCCCTCTGCAGAGTCTCCAGGGTCCAGAGGCACTGCTGCATGCTTCTACATCAAGTGGCTGTTGTTCTTTAACTGGGACTTCCCTGAGAACTAACTGGGTGCCATTCTAACTTACCACACTGTTTCTGCTTCTACTGATTTATGACCAAGAGAAGAAACTGAAGGGTCATAAGTAGGATTATTTATGATTCAATAACAACAGGCAGAAGGAAAGAATAGAATTCTTGATCCAAAATAGCACTCTGCGACCTCCATTTCCAGGCTTCCACTGTGTGAAGGACACTTTTCCCTGCCGACTCATGAACCTATCGCTTTTTCTCAGGTTCACTGTTTTTATGCCGTGATACTCAACCCCTCTTCTACCGCCCAGAAGTGGCCATTCATCATTGCTTGTTCAGCTTACCAATCTGTTACTAATGGATGTAAATATTTATTCATGCCTGTGTGGTATTGTGAGATTTCAAACTTGTAAACTAATACATTTGAGAATATGGACAATTATTGCCATGCTTGAGTCCTTACACAAAATCATTGTAGAAGGGCTGGGAGCAATTTGAACAAACAATACAGATTAAATGCACCTGCTACCTGAGTCAGCTGCCTCATTGAAAGAAACTTGTTTTGAAAGGCTGGAGTTTGAGTGTTAATTGATCCATGGAAACAAACAGGGAAGTGGTTGAGTGAACTGATTTCTGGACTCAGATTCAAGTTCCACCACTGGTTCTACTGCGGGTCAACTCTCCTTGGCACGGTGAAACAGCCTTTTGGCTTTAATTTTTCCATCTGAGCAGAGGAATAAAACCTACTTTTGAGGGTTGTGAGGATTAACTAATATGCATAAATGATCTAGAATAATGCCTAGCATGCAGGTTTAGTCAATACGTGTTGAATAGAAACAGCTTTCAGAGTGAGTATACCCAGCTAGTTCCATGATTTAAGGATGACAGATGGAAACGAATTTCATAATAAAAATTCCAGGTTAGGCCAAATTTCCTGATAGTTATTTATTTGAGAAGTACAGGAATACATATTAGACACATATACACACAC